ATTATTTCAAAAATAAATTTTAATATGTTATAATATAATCATGCATGCATGGATGTTAGATCTAATTACGATTGTATTTGTTGTTCGTTAACGGTTTAGCATAAGAGAGAGGAGATTAGAAACTTGATTCATTAATATAGCAAGATGATTAGTGAAGTAATGCACTGGTATTTATGGATTGGAATTTCATCAAGTACACAACTGAATATATTTATGAAAATTTGATTTTATATGATCCATAATAGCCTTAGGTCTTATTTGGAACAGCTTCTCTACTGCTTTCTAAAATAGTTTTTTGGTACAAAATTTTGAGTTTGAATTTTTGCACTAAAAAACTACTTTAGAAAGTAGGAAAAAAACTGTTCCAAACAAAATCTTAATTGATCAAATATTTCTGTTTTTTAATTATGCTAAGATTGAAATGTATTAGAAAAAAAGATTGAAAAAGGATCTAAACTAATTTTCAATAAATTTCAAATAAGTTTAAGATTCCAATTTATTTGAATAACGTTCGAATAAGATACAAATAAGATTCAAAGAAGCCTTGAATAATGCTAGAATAGTATTTGAATAATGTTCAAATCTTTCAAAAAATGTTAGAACATCATTCGAACTTGATTGAAATATTATTCAAATAAAATTCGAGTATTCAAATAAAGTTTAAACAAGATTGGAAGATGATTTAGATTAGGTTGGATACATTAGACTACAAACACAATAGCTAACAAAACTAAATTTGATACAATTGAGTGCAATCATATAAGCTATAACATAGAAAATCGAATAGTTTAAGAGATTTGATTGCATGTGCATCATCCACTATGAACCTAATTGAATATTGTAGTTTTTAGTTGCATCTACCTTGCAAAATAAATCCATACATAGCCTGTTCCTATAAAATGGCTACAACCATGTGTAATTTTAAGAAGATCCCCTTTTAAAGTCAGATAAATAATGTATTGTATCGCATACACTTTATAATCTTTGCTGCAAATAAAACTTGTGGCACTAATTGGCTGATCTTTCACTATATGCTTTCACTCATATACTGCTCTATCATTCAGTCTTCCTAAACTGGCTTGCTCTTAAATCAATTCTTCTTACCCTTGCTCTCCACATCAAAAACATTACTCTGTTAGAGGATAGCACTGACCTCCATGCCTCTTTCCACAATGAATATATGCACTGTAGTTTCCAGTAGATGTTAGTTATCCCAATCCCCTCGAATAACTATATATACTTTTCTTATTACCAGTACTATCGCTATACTTGCTTACTTAATCTCTAGTCCTCCTTCTATTGACATCGTGCCTGGAGCTTTCATCATGTTTAAATGTCGGTACTATCAAATCAATCTCTATCAATCTGACTCACCCCACCAACTCAGAAAATTCTTAAATCAGTAGAGGTACTAATAGATGTCTCAGCTCCTTGTTCAATCCCTACAAAATATGTAATACTTTTCTTCAGTAGTATGAATCATAGGGAGCTCACATATCTAGTAAGTATAATAAATATAGCTTCATACTACATTACAGTCTTCCTTTCCTGCTCCAACTTGATAAAAGCTTCCTGCATTTGTCGTCGGAGTGACTGAGGTGTGAACCACATCTACAATATTTTAGTGAATTCATCTCATGTGATCTCAACATTAATCTTTCCCTGGAATTTTTCTATATGTTGTCCAAACCCCATCTCTCGACCTCTCCTTCAAACAAAAACACAACTAACGGTACGTTCCGACTCTTTTAGCACTGCATACTATCAAAAACTTTCTCTATCCTTAGCAACCAATCTTTTGCAACCTGTGTGGTCCTATAGCTCCTTTATTTATTTATTTTTTTATTTTTATTTTTTTATTTTTTGATCCTATAGCACCTTTGAATAGTGGGGGCTTCAACTTATGTAGTAGTTGTAGATTCTTATCCCCTTAATTTTTCTTTCTCCTTGATGACTTACTCTGAGTATCACCCATTATCTATACTAGAACACTAGCTAGGTGCATAATAGTGCATAACGGTACTAGTGATGAATTGTGTTGCTCATTTGGTGTATCTTACTATGATAGGTCCATTTAAACTATTCAGTTTTGCACAATTATTTCTGATCTGAATAAATCACACATACAATTAATTATGTATGTAAAATAATATACCTTAATGTACATAATTTACCCGACTCACTATCAATTCTTACAGCTCTGATAACAATTCAATTCTTCCAATAATTATGCTCTAATACCAATTATCATGCCCCAAAATCTAAGTTGAAATAATTCTTTTTTTTTTTCTTTTAATAACAACTTCATGGCTATCTAACTTCATCTATTAGTAATAAACATCAAAAATAAATTTTAAATTCTAAAATTTAATATATATATTATCATTAACTGGCACGCACCAATGTAGACACTATAAATAGTAAGCGTAGCCGTAAGTGTTAGTTTTATACGCATTAAGTCATTTTCTGAACTAACTGACAAAATCTTAGAACAAACCAAAGAAAATTCGAGCATGAAAAATGCAATTAGTATTCTTACTTAACTAACGTGATTTATTTCATATTATCAAATAATCCCTAAACCATATGTATTTCTCTTATTTGTTGTTACATGACAGTAGTTCAGCTGAAGACTCCTGCCCTCTTGGCCGGCCATAGACAATAGTGACTAAATAAAAATAAATAATAATAAACTTTGATTTAATTTCACTAATTTTAAGTTTGAAAATAAAGACATTTCTAATGTTGAAATTTTTAATTACATAGAATCAAATAATCAAATGACAAAATTTAAATAATTATAATTTCAAACAAGCGCTTAAGTAAAATTGAGAAAAAAAGATACAAATCTTAACTTAAAAAAAAGGATAAAAATATCCTTTTTGAAATAAATGCTTAAAGTTGAAAGTTTACAGATAATTATTATTTTCATAATTAATGAAATAGTGTGAATATTCTAGTGTTAACAGGTTGTACAAAAAATGAAAATAAAGATAGAAATTTTAAATAAATTTATTAGCAAGTTTATTTATGTGCAAGTTCATAGAATAATTGAATTGCAATTTAGAATGCTTATTTATTGAATTATATAAATGGAATGGTATGCTTAAAAAATAATAATCTAAAACAAGGATTAGGGATCAAGCCAAATATTAATTTGTTTACGTCATCATTTTAATTAAAAAAACTACCAAAAACATGAGGTTTTCGTAGCAATTATTAGCGGTGCATTGTTTGGTGATAAAACCACTGCTATAGATAATTACTATAGGTAGAGGTTTTCACCACTGCTAAAAAAATATCAAAAACTTAAGATTTTCACAGTGGTTTATAGAGGTAGTTTGCAAACCGTTGCTACTATTGCTTTCAATAAAAGCAATTTCAAAATCACTACCATCTCTCCTATCCCTCCCATGCATGCCCTCCCACTCACTTGATCCTGCGTCCATCTCCTAGGCCCAAGGCAGGAAAGCAACAAGTATTCTTCCATCCGTTGGGAGTTACGGTTATTTCCATTTCGTTCTCTTCAAGCAGGGAAAAGGCGTCATCTTCGGTATCGATCAAGGACTGATGCAGCTGCGGTTTGTTCGTGGATCGTGAAGCTTATGCTTGAACACAATTACAACGGATTTATAGCGGTTACCAAACCGCTACAAATGATTTAGTAGATCTTTAAACGGTTGCATTAAATCAAAAAAAGTGTTGTGAAAGATTGATTTATTAATGTTACTTGTCAATGATTTTTTGAATTCTTAACCTTTGAAGACTATGAATTGAGGTGCTTTTTGGTATAAGAGCTGAAATTTCATCAAAAACTCAATGCTCATAGTTAAAATTGCACTCCTAAGATGTGTGACCTACTGAGAAGTTATATCAAGAAAACAAAATCGCAAAGCCATTAAGTCAAATCGGATAATATCTCGATGATTAAGTGTTTGAGTTATTAAAATGATAAAATATTATTAGTATCTTATATTAATTATGACACATTAGAAAAGGTCATTTAGGATACACTAATAAAACTAAAAAAAGGCTTCGTTTGACATAACTTTATTACTGCTTCCTAAAACAATTTTATAGTACAAAAAGTTTAATTCAAAAAACTTGTATACTAAAAAACTGTTTTAAAAAATAGTAAGAAAACTATCTCAATAAAATCTAAATATGTGCAAATAATTCATCATATGAGAAGAACACGCACGTTATTTCAAACATAGCCCTCACAACTTTATTCCAAACATTGGACACCTTTCATACATATATACTTCCATTAATTGTACAAATCTTGTTTCTACATCTAATTATACTGAGCTAATACAACTTGGATATAAAAAAGAGTCAACAAAAGAGATTTATTAATTAATCTCAGCCCACCCAAATAACTTATCCGAATTGCATTGCTTAGAACGGTTGTGGCTCCCACCAAAAAATATATATTGCGTGCCCTAATTGCTCAAACCATGGCCCAAAACCCATGTCACCCATGAAATTAGGGGCTTGCTTGCTTCCCAAATAAAACACTTTTGACCTATGATAGTCTTCCACCTATGACATTAGCAGTAACCTAATCCTCCATTATTTTTTCCCTGCTTAATTACGTGCCATCCATTCAAAAGCCTCAAGGCTTTATCTTACACTGTAAGGAGAGCATTAACCGCTAATTAAAATTACCTAATCATATAATTATGATAATGTGATCTTTCATCTAATGTCATAACCCTAACGAAGTCATGAAATATAGTATATTTTGCATGCAATGAAAATAGTACGTGGCTGCACTTGCGGTCTTAATGACTAACTTTAGAAAGATGAAAGGCAGCTTATGGTTTATTAGTCTCTAATGAAACTAATTAATAATTTAAGAAGAAACCCAGAAACAACCTTAGACCTCTATAAAAACACCATAATCTCCCTTCCTCCCACTAATCAAATTATAACAATCTCTTATCTTCTCTTCTTAGCTTTAACAAGGTTGATAGAGAGAAAGAGAGAGTTCGAAAGTAATGGGGAGATCTCCTTGCTGTGATGAAGTAGGGGTGAAGAAGGGTCCATGGACACCAGAAGAAGATGAGAAGCTTATCGAATATATAAAGAAGCATGGCCATGGAAGTTGGAGACATCTTCCACGAAATGCTGGTCTCAACCGCTGTGGAAAGAGTTGCAGGCTTCGATGGACAAATTATCTACGCCCTGATATCAAGAGGGGGAAGTTTTCAGAGGAGGAGGAAGGGCTTATCATCCATCTCCACTCGATGCTCGGGAACAAGTAAGATATTTAATTCCAATTCATGTTTCTTTCTATAGTTTTTTTTTTATAAGAAAGTTCTTATAAGATCTTATTCGTTTTTAATATATAAGGAATGTTTCATATCAATATTTTCGCATTTGTAGGAAGATTTTCCCAGCAAAGATCATTAAGATTTATTCTTTCTGAAAGTTTTGATATTAGAACTAATAATAGTACTAATTATAACACTAAAGCTGATTTTTTCATCACGAATTAGTCTCTTAATTCGTAGAGAAGAAGATTTTGAGGCAAAAAGAGGTTATCATATCAATTTCTGAGGCATTTCTTCTGGATATTTTATGAAATCAAATATACAAGATTTCTTTCTGCCTTGTTTGTTTTCTTTCTGATAAAGTGTTTGACTTATGGGATAGTTAGGATGGAAGTTAGAATAACGTTATTTTTTGAATGCAACCTCATGAAACTAACTGTAAAATCGATTTTTTTTCTTATGTTAGGTGGTCTTTGATATCTACCAAGCTACCAGGGAGGACAGATAATGAGATAAAAAATCACTGGAACACCCACCTCAAGAAGAAACTACTCCTTATGGGCATTGACCCAGTCACCCATCGTCGACGAGCCGATCTCGAGCTTCTTGCCAACTTACCCAATCTTCTTTCCTGCTGCAATTCTAGCACCCGAATGGCAAATTCATGGGACAGCACTCTTCAGCTTCAAGCTGATGCTGCAAACCTTGTACAAGTGCAGATCTTGCAGGGCCTTCTCCAAGTGCTTATTTCTTCTTCACCAAATTCAAATGCTTCTCCAAATTTGAATATGAACAATCTCTTGGCCGGCTCATCACTTGCTCCTCTTCGAAACATTGCCGACATCCTCCAAGCGAACCGGCAGCTTGAGGCCTTACTTAATGGCTCCTTCGGTCTTGCTCATGGTTCAATTCCATCTGCATCGACGATTCAAATGCCTAACAGTTATCAGGCTCTTCCTCTGCAGAATCAGCCTAAGATGAACGGCAATGAAAACCAACAATTACTGTTCCATTCAAACACCCCTTCACTTGTTTCAGCCTCACCTGAAAATACTACTTCAGTCAGTCTGAAGCAAGAACAAATCATTTCAAATGAAATTTCTGCAGCGAATTCGGAGAGCTCAACGCCTATTGACCCCTGGGATGCCCTAAATTTGAGTGATCCTAATGGTGCTGATCTCGGTTGGAAGGAAATACTTGAGTACGTACCTTAACTATACATTCATATGGATATATTGTAAGATTTTAATGATCTAAGAATCCATGCTGATTTGAGTTTTGCAATATTATTGCAGACAAATATCCTGGTAGAATACAATTCTGAAGGCAAGCCTTGGGAAGAAAAGATGAAGGAAACATCTGTGAATAGGAAAATTTCATTTAATGAATTCAATTAGCTGCAATACAGAATACATGATTTTGTACAAAATAATGTGACAATGACAGAGAAAATACATTCAGTTCTGTGAATTGGTAGGCTGTATTATTTGCTATTTACCAAACATTTATTGTTATTGTTCTTCTTTTTGTAATATGAATCAAATCCAGGTTCTTTACTTTTCTCTTTAAAATATTTGATGGGCTATCAGAATCTAGCTACTTGAGTGTTAGATGGAACTTCTGATTACCGGTTTATAGTTTGAATATTTGGTAGTTGAGAGAGGAGGCTCAAGAGTCAAGAGAAATATATTTATGTGAAGTGAAAAAGGACATTTCCATGATTTTATTTTATTTTTTTATTTTCCATGCATGAAATAGCTTAGTGCTTCAATTTTTTTTAAGGAAAGAAATTTTATGAATTTGCTTCTTGGTTCCATACAATTTCTAAAAGGTCAAAGGTGAGAGTTATATTTCATCTTATGCGAGCAAGTGTTAATGCTGCATTTACTTTTTTTTTTTTGTTTAATTCTGTTGTATGAAATATATATTATACTCTTTCTCATTTAAAAATATGAATATGCTCATGAAGAAACACAAAAGATACCCATTCAATTACTTTTTAAATATGTTACTCTTAGAAAATAATACTATTATTTTTTAAGAAATTGATCAAATTGGTCCTCTAACAATTTTTTAAGGAATAAAATAATTTTTGACTATATAAAAGTATTTATTTGGTCTCTTAACTTTTTGAATAGGAGAAATTATTCTGTGCAGACACCGGACCGTCTGGAGGTTAATCAGAACACACCATGTCATCTGGTACACAGCAAAAAAGTAATTTTGCTCGTTCTAATTCGCTTCTGGACGGCGTCCATATCCGGACAGAATAATTTCACTCTAAATAGAGATAAAATTAGTGATCTTATTGTCATTTAGGTCTCTATTTAAAAAGTCAATAAATAAATATGAGAATTTTAAATAGTTAAAAGTCATCTTTAGTAAAAAGTCAATGAATCATTTTAGTCATTATATATATTTTTATTTTAATTATGAGAAAATTGGAAACAAATGAAGTCTTGAGTTTGATTTGCTTCGGCAGAAACGAGGAACTTATATTCTCTCAGTGTTAACATAAAAATATTGTTACAATATAATTTGGAGGCAAAACTTCTAAATATAAATCACATATATAAAAAATTTTGTTCATATTTTTGAGCAGAAGTCGCACTATTAGTTAACAGTTAGGTAAATGACTCATTCTTCTTTGCTCTCAAGCCATTGACTGCAACACGAAAAACCTAACAGCCAATGAGTCACCCTTCTCTTTCGTTCTCCCATTCTTCAAATAAATAAATATAAATAACAAAGGAATTCAGTAAATTTTTTTCCCTTAACTATTTTTAAAAATATACATTAACTTACTAACTATATTAGATTAATGTATTAAGACTCCATATTTGATGTGAAAATATCGATCGCTCGTTATAGTGGAGCCAAATTCTTGTAATTCTATTTTCCTTATTAAATGTATCAAATACCTCAAATAATTAGAATTTATTTAGCATCTATTTGGAAAAGCTTTTTAATTGCTTTATTTTTTCATATCACAATTACAATTTTTATGATTATAGAATTGCCAATGTATGGTGGCTTTAAGAAATCCGTTATTTGTTTTTTTTTTTTGGTGGAAAAAGTAAATATTTATAATATCCTCAACAATTTAAAAAATTAATTTTTTCATAATAGCTTCACAACCTCCTTTATAAAATGTTAAAGCAGATGGAACAAAACAACCACAAATAAGAAGTCTCAAATTCTATAATATTCATTAGTTTTGATATGTAATAATCAATTTGTGAAATTCTTATTAATTTTGAGTAGAATCTGATTCTGTTGATCAATCAGGTGTTATCTAATGTTTTGTATCTAAGTGCTTCGATGTTGTGTGCCCTAGCGCTCCAGCACTGTATGCCAAAGTGTCTCAATATTGTATACCCTAATTAGCGGCTAAACGCTGAATAATTTTTGGCAAAAAACAAAGGCTGGAACACCGTAGCGCTCTATATTTGGCACAACAACGCTATCACACGAACTAAATGATCGAGGTTATAGTATTGCAGTGCTCCAAACTAGCACTTAAGCACTGAGCACTACTACATCATTGACACTGCGAGACGAGTAAACTTTTTTTTTTCTCATTGTTCAATAAGGTTGGCGTCCCTTGATGATTTCTATTGTATCTCTTTGTTTATGTTCTTTTGTATAAATGGTGGAAGAGAAACTAGAAGCAAGGAGAGAGTAAGAGAGAAGTGAGATATGTACCAATTCTCCCAAATTTTCATATATAGTAGATTTCTTACTGTGGTGTGGCTCCATGTTCCTTTCCGGGTTTTGAGTTTTCCGACCACTAAAGGAAAATCGTCAATTACCGACGGATATTTCCGACGGAAATTGCTGATTTTCCGGCAGATTTGGACGTTTCCGAAGGCTTTCTAACGGAATTTTTTTCGTCAGTAAAAGCCACACAGGAAGAGAAAAGAGGTGGGTTTTTTCTATCGAAACTTATTTCCAGCTGGTTTTTGGAGGATTATACTTTCGTTGTGACCGGCAGACGGAGCAGCTAAGAAGAAAGAATCTCCTTCGGACAATTCCAACAGCTAAACCACTTGTACTTACCGGCGGGAAGTCCAACGGAAAAACCTCTGATAAATTCCAGCCAGAAATTTCCTACAGCTTCTCACACTTTTCCGTATAATTTTTTGTGTCTCCCCGTATCAAAAGTTTCAGGCAGAATTTTCTCAAGAAAGCCACCGTAAACCTGTAGCAATGCAAAAAAAAAAAAAAAAAGACAACCCCTTATTATTCCACAAAAATATTTACATCATAAACCTACAACAGTTAATTGATGTACACACAACAAAATTATATATCATCATACAACATTCCTACTCAAAAAATAATAAAACAATTCAAAACATAAGTCTATGAACTATAAAACTAAATCATTCGACATAAATAACTTCAAAACTCAATCGTTCAACTTAATTAAACAACTTCAAAACATAAAAATTGTTCAAATAAGTTTTCAAAACACAACAATAAGTTCTCCAAACTACTATAATAATTGAAACAGATGGACAATCCACCAGAAAAATCGACATGATAAGCAAAAATAGGCGAAATTTTCGTTGCCATTATTTCGCCGAAAATTCCAGCGGTATTTGATAATTTTCCTGTAGTGCACGTTAAATATTGACATTTTTTTATATTTCCAATGCTTTTACCTTTCTTGTTTGCTTTGCTACTATATTTTAGTTCCCACCCACGACAATTCCACTTCTTTTAATGATATAATTATGGCCTATTTGGGTAAAACAATTTATTTATTTTGGTTGTAAGAAACAATTACCAATACCACAGAAATTACTTAAAAGTAGTAAGAAAGTAATAAAAAAGTAGCAGCCAAATGAAATAATTATATCAATCAAAAAAGCAAAACAATATGAAAATTTTCTCAAAGAGACCCTTGATATTGATATCTAAGGCATACACAATTTAACGTATGTCATACTCGTAGAGCTGCACAGACTTTGACCCACCATATAAATAATATTTAATATTAAATTACATGCATGCATGCCTATACGCATGCTAAGGCAACACGTCATGATTTTTTTATTTATTACTAAAGATATATTTATATGTATGCTTATTTACGTTTTAAAATTGTGCATGCTTAGAAGTAATTCAACAAGTGATGGCAATTGTGCCTTATGAAGTGGATATTCGGTTAGAATGATTTTAATAGGGTATTTGGTTACTTGATTCGGTAGGATAGAGTATTCATTAGGATAATTAGTTGGAGTTTGATATTAGCCTCTAAGATATCCAACTCCTAAATAGATTGAATTCGAATTAGGTATTTATAGTGAGTGTTATTTGTATAAAACATAAATGAACTAGCTATTGCTAATTTGGCTCAATCCGAGTTAAAATTTGATATAGGGTTCGTTTGCGACGACTTTTTTCTGCTTCTTAAAGCAGTTTTCTAGTACAAAATTTTTAATTTTTATATTAAAAAACTACTTTAAGAAGCAGAAAGAAAGCCTTTCTATCGAAGCCTTAATCTTCGTTCTAAAATCTTAGCCCTAACTACTTATTTTCTTGGAAAATCAACATAAAGGAAAATGAAATGACTCAATTAGAGACTAATGTAGAGGCCGCCTTCTTAAATGTTTCGGCGGCATAATATATATACGTAGATTGCCTTTCAAAGGCTTCATTTGGGACGACTTTTATGTTGTTGCTTGAAGCAGCTTTTTAGAACAAAAATTTTAATTTTTTAACTAAAAAGCTGCTTCAAGAAACAGTAAAAAAATCATCTTAACTGAAGCCAAAGTCTCCAACCTCTCTCCCTTAGCCAGCTAACTAGCATTCTTCAATTTCTTTTCACCAAGTTTGTTATATGGCTTTGTACCTAGCAGTCCCGGCCTAACCTCGTATCTCCCAATCAATTGGAGCATAAAGCCAAGACACTAGAAGTCATTATGGCCTTGACCAAGAGAAAGCCATGATCCATGCACACACAAACACACACAAAAATCCCATCTCCATGTAGTAAGTTTTCATTTTTCTCTGGAAATCAACTTTCTTGAGATCATTTAGCCATAATTTTATTTTTGTGAAGTTTACTCTTTTTTTTTTTTGTTGAAGATTTAAGGGGTTCTAAAAATCATCTGGTTGATTTTTAACCATCATAAACTATCTTACAAAACCAATAAAGTCAGATTGTTATAGATTATCCAATGCTTTTGACTTCTTATTTTCTACATCAACCTTATCAGTGAGACATTCAAGATTTATGATAAAGACAGATGGAGTTACAACGTATCTATGAGAATAACATCAAAAGTTGATATTTTTTTAAACTTGTTGGAACGGATATTGTACACTCGTATATATTGTAATAATTCAAATATGTGAAAAAAATTTATTTGAAAAATATGAAAATTTTGAAGTAGGACATTTTAGTGTTGATCTG